GTAAGAAACATCAGACTCTAGAATTATATACCCATGCAAACTCTGAATTTGATGTTTTCATCATTATTTCAGCTTAATGTTTTTATGACTGCTGATTTGTACAACCACATAGCATGAATCATTGTGCAATCCTGGGGCCAGTGTTGTAGCATAGCAGGTAAAGCTGCTATCTCTGATGCCAGCATCCCATACGGGCTCCATTTCAAGTCCTGGCTGCTCCACTTCCAATCCAGCTCTTGGGGAAAAGCAGCAGAAGATGGCCCAAATGCTGGTGCCCCTGCATCCAAGTGGGAGACCTGGAAGAAGCTCCTGGCTCCTGGCCTCAGCCTGGCCCAGCCCTGGCCATTGCACCATCTGGGCAGTAAACCACTGGATGGAAGGTTCTCTTTCTCTCTCTCTTTGTAAATTCTGACTTTCAAATAAATAAATAAATAAATCTTAAAAGAATTATGTAATTCTGCTTCCAAACTGAGAATTCACTTTTCTCTGTATATTTATTTTGTAATTGTATTTTTGTAAAGAACAAAAAACACGAACACTAGATATATTACACTTTAAAAAAAAAAAAAGTATTTATTTGAAAGAGTTCCAGAGAGTGAGGGAGAGACAGAGAGCAATTTTCCATCTGCTGGCTCACTCCTCAGATGACTGCAACAGCCAGGAGCTTCTTCTGGTTCTCCCAGGTGATTGGCAGAGGCCCAAGTACATGGGCTAACTCCAGCTGCTTTCCCCAGGCCATTAGCAGGGAATTGGATAGGAAGAGGAGCAGGCAGGACCTGAACTGGTGCCCATATGTGATGCCAGTGTTGTAGGCACTGCCACTACACTACAGTGCTGGCCTGTCATCTTTGTTCTTTGACACAAGCATTTTCCATGTTTTCCTTTGTAATTGGGCATGTAATAAGCATCCTAACCCATGAACAAGAGGCCGTCAGCAGGATTATACATCTTGCCTGCAGAGCTGTTTCTCTTCTTACTGCCACGCCTAAGAGTATATGACAAGCCAGTTGAAATAACATTTCCTGTGTTTAAAAAATAAATTGTGTCAGGAAGCACAGAGCTGTGATTGAACACTTAAGATAGAACGTAGGACACTACTGTGAAGGCATATTTCCTATAAAAATGTTAGTATTTTAAAATTAACAGCGTCTCCTGAAATGCAGTAAAATAAGCATCAGATTATAATGCAGTTTGAAAATGTTCTCAACATGTGCAGTAACTTGATTCCACGAAGATCAGTTAAAATCCTTAGCTTCATTGTGAAATGACTTCATAACTAGGTTGAAAAGAATTAACAAATCTTGATCAGTGGTCTTTAAACTTTGTCACCATTTATGTTAAACAGAATGTTTCTAAAGAGAGTCATATATTCAGGTTGGGTTTTCTTGTTCTTCTCCATAGCAAATCCTTCACACAATTTTCATTTAAGTTCCAGTTTTACAGGCAATATCATGTCACATGCTTGTTTCATTTGACAGTTACAGTGACCATTGCATTTTTATTTGAGTGTTAAGCAGTGAAATGTTCCTGGGGGCACATTCTGTCTGCTCCAGGTCCTTTTCTTCTTTTGTGTTCTTGTTAGTGAAGTCTTGTTAAGTATTTTGGAGAGAAACATCCATTTGTTAGGTTTAGGGATTATTTTCTCTAACCTCCTGCAGAATGAATTTCAAACTCTGTTCCCTAGAGCAAGGTATTGAGATTTATGAAGAAGCTCAGCAGAGATCTTGACTAGGTGCTAAAAGGTTTTTAACTACTGCAAATTCCACTTTCAGAGGTGGTTTTATAGCATTGAGTTATTCTTAAAAACAATCACACTTAGCTCAGAGAAATCCTGTAGGGTGACGCCATCACTTTTCTAATCTTTCATCTTAGAGAACTTTAGTGTCCTTTCTCTTTCTCTCTGTCATCCTTCTGATTTCTTTCTTTCTTTGTTCATTAAATACCTACTTTACATGAAAAGATCAATTTCTGATACGAAAGAGAGTGTTTTACTGTCAAAAAATTTTGCAGAACAGAAGATGTCAGATACTGCAGATTGAAAAGTCAAAACTCAAATGCAATTATAGAAATATACAGAATATGAATAAACAGAAAACTTCTGCTGCCCTGGGGTGTAGTCCAGGTTAAGCAAGCAGATGAGATCAATCTTTAAATGTATTCAGTACGAGGGCATGGCTGACAAACCAGCCATGTGGTCTAAGTGCTAAAAGGGCTGGTAACAAAAAAGGAGCATCTGTCTTCTCCAGCAGAGGCAGTAAGAAGGTGGACTGACAACTGTGGTCTGGCCACAGTCACACTCTTCTCAACCCAGCTGGTAGGATATTTTCCCTAAGTTAGATTATTTTTCAACATTTAGGAATTGAGATATTTCATGTGAAAATGCTGTCAAAATTGTTATGTCTTCTTGTTAAAAATAAATAAATAAACACACACAGCCACCAGCCTCCCAAAGCCTGCTTTCCCCGGGGGCAGCAGTGAGCTGACGCAGAGTGCCAAGGGCAAGTCGGGCATCCTCTGCTCTCCCCCACTCAACTTCATTTGTCCGTGCTTCTTGCCTTTACCAAAAGGAATTCGAGTGAAATGAGCCCTGCTGCGTATTCATCTCTGATACCGAGTCAGAGATGCTTTAAAATGTTCTTTAAAATGTTCTTTCGCTTTTCCTCTTGTGCTTATACAAAACTGCCTGCGGTTCGACATCCAGCAGCCAGCAGCCAGGGAGACACCTAGAGTGACCTCCCATCCATCTCTCCATCTGTACAGCATGCATACCTTTGCCTCTGGGGCAGGTTGGCAATAAGACGATAGTGGGGCTCTCGGAATGATGGAAAGTCTAGGTTAGGTGCCCTAAGTTACACACCTAAGGTCAGGGCCAATGTAGAACTATCAAGCATTCATCAGAAGTGATGAGTGTAGAAAACAGAAAGCCGAGGTCGGAAGATGAAACAGCCAATCAGCCCATGAAAAGATGCTCAACATCATCAGACATTAGGGAAAGTAACTTTAAGGGCTCCCCAGGAATATCACAGCATGGTGAATGACATCATGGCAGGAATGCATATGAGAGAGAGAACAGTTACATGGCAAGACCCAAAGCTTGAGGGATTCAGGAGCCAGACTTGCTCTTTTACAACAACTCCCTCTCATGCAAGGTAACTCAGCCCATGAGACCAGCATTAATCCCTCCTGAGGGCGATGTCCCCATGAACGAATTACTTTTCACCAAGCCTCTCCTCTGAAAGATGACACCACCTCTCAACATTGCCACACTGAGGACCAAATCTCTGGTGCGTGAACCTTTGCTTGCCTTCCTGGCACTCAGCATCTTCTCTTGGCATCTCAATATGCTGCTCAAGAACTTCCCATTTTCTCTTCACTGCTTCCCATCACATAAAGTAATGGTCAGCCCATCCACCTGTTTTTTTTTTTAATAAAGTTTTATTGAAACACATCCATACTCAATTTGTTTGCACATTGTCTGCGACTGCTTTCATGCTGTGATGGCAGAGGTGAATACTGGCAAGAGAGACTGTGTGGCACACCACCAAACCTAAAATACTTAGTGCCTAGTCCTTTACAGAAAAAAAAAATATTGCTGATCCTTGATGTAAAGGTACATGTGTCTCCTCTGATTGACAAGATCTCCCATGCTCTTGCCTACCCCCCTATTCCTCCCCTATCTCACACCTTCCTGTCTAGACCTGTTCTGTCCTGCCTTCTCGGATCCTCCTTCAGAGCACACCAATTGTCCTGTTGCTGCTGCCACTTCCTACTAATACTCCTTTCCTGCTGCTCGTCAGTTTGTTCACCAAAACTTGAAGCGATTTCTTTCTTTTGTCTTCCTAACACCTGACTTGATTCCAGTTTCTCCCCTGAAGTTATCTTTTTCTTACCTACTTTCTAGAACATTTACAGTTTTTAAAAATTAGCAATAATTATATATCACATTATATTGTGATGTATAGTGTGGAATTTCAATACGTGCATACAGTGTGTGCTGATTAGATCAGAGGAATTAATGTTTCTTCCTCTTTGTCGTTGACCTATGATTAGAACCCCTGCTCTATGCTAATTCTTGATTGAATTTGTGTCATGCAGTTAAGTCCATGGTTATATTCTCCTTGGGTTGCTTTAGCTACAATTACACTGGAGGCTGGTTGAGAAAAATCTTTCTTATATTTATGCTTCTGTAACCTCCTTTTCCAATCCCACCTGGGGTTCAGGGCAGTATATCCAAATATGTCTTCAATCTGTCCACTTCTTTCCTTCTTCCCTCTCACAGATCCAGGTCATTTTATCTTACTTAGACTATTGCAGTTTTACCTTAATTAGTCATTCTATTCTGTTCTTACCCTGCTTTTCTCTGTTTACTACAAAATAGAATAATGTTTTTAAAAATAAATCATCATTTTATTCTATTCCTTAAAAAGCTTCCATGACTTCTGATTGCACATGGAATGAGATTTACCCCATGCTTGGCTTACCATCTTCATCCTCTCCCTCTACCCTTACTCACCATGCTTCACTTCAGATCCCTTCCCAGCCTGTAGCATGTTCTGTGGTGCCTCTTCCTTCTAGAATCATCTTCCATGGATTCTCATAGTTCAATGTGCCAACATCTCTACAAAAGGGTGTCTGCCTCCCCCATAGAATGGCCTGCCATCACACACCCTTGTTTTTCTCTGTCCAGGAAAGTTGGCACAATCTGAAATCCATGTAGATTATGTACTTAGTGAATGATTTATTTTCTGCTTTCTTCCACCATGCAATAGCCACCACGAGAACAGAAATCTTTCTTTCTTTCTTGTCACCATGTCCACAGCCCCTACCTTGAAATTTGGTATGAAGACATTTATAAGTAATTGTTGAAGAAATGAACAAGTGAAAGTACAGTAGGCAAATAATGAATGCTCACTATTTTTTCTTGTTTTTTTTTTTGTTTGTTTGTTTCCATGAAATTTTTTTCTTAAAAAAGTTCTTTATTTTGAATCTAATTTTTACAGGTACTTCTGTTGTGACTGTCAAAGCTTTGGCTGCTGACTCAATTCAGGATAGCATTGAGTACTCAATTTTTAGTGGAAATGAAGATGGAGTTTTCTTCCTGTGCTCCCATTCAGGTAATCTTTATAAGAGCCATATCTTCTGCACCATGTAATGTTACCAAAAATAAATAATCCTGCAAAATGTGAAAGGGATGAATTGTCAGGGATAAGTCATTTTAAAGGTAATCAGAGTTTTTCATGGTAGTGATGAAAAATTATGGAAAATCAAAAACTATTTATGTATTCTCACCAAGAATTCTGTTAGATTGTGCTTATCCTGCTTTTTGAATTTTTTAAAGATAAATTCATTTCCACTTATAATTTACCCATCTATTTGCAAAAGTTGGAAATGTAGTAGGGAAATCATTGATATTGAGTTTGAATTCAAAATAAGCTCACATGGCTAGCCTCAGGGAATTTTCATCAGAGATTCCTCTAATTCGCCACTGAATGTCAACAATGTAACAAAAAAACAGCTGGAAAAGTTTCTATGTGGTGGTAAAGAAATTACTTCCAACTACAACATGTATTAAATTTAGCTTTAATAAGACCATTATTGTGTTTTAAATGAATCCCAATTGATTATTTGAAACATACTTTTTTGACTAACAACTATGTAGTAGATACATATCTACTGCATCGTTGTCAAGCATCAAGAAGAATGTTTCTAATAATTTCTATATTACCATACAACTGCCGTATTTAAGCTATGTTACATGCACATGGGAGGAATTGAGAGGGGATAATTTCTTAAGTAAATGCTTTCTCATCCGGGGTGGTGCACACAGCCTGTGGCCTCTGGTCGGCAACCTCCAAGAGGTAGGGTAGAGGAAGTCTTCTCTCTTCACCCATTACTGGCTTCAAGGATGGTGCAGAAAGCTTGTTGACAAAAGGGCTATCTGCAAACATCAACAAGCCTTGTTTCTCACAGACCAGGTGTCTGGAGGTTCTGGGGGAGAAGCTGAGAATTAGAATGTTCAGGAAGTAGAGAGAATAGTAGAGTCTGCATATTTCCTCAAGTTATTCAAATCCTTCTACTCTCCCACTCCTAACATGACCCAGGCTTGGCTCCTGCCCAACATTGCCACCTGGATTCTTCCATTAAAATGCAGATAAAATCTGCCTGGGGTCAAGCCTTATTTTGCAATTAAGCAATTACTTTATGTTAAAAGTCACTTACTTACGAATGTTATATGAAATATCTACAAAACAGAATGTCAGAACATATGAAACTATTAGATGGGACAACAGTAAAGGAAAAGTCCCTGTAGTTGCCACCTGTGTCCAGAAATAAGCCATTACTAGAGCCTTAGGGAGCATCTTTTACAACTCTCTTTTTTTCTTTCCCCACATTTTTTATGGTTATTATTTAGAAACATGTGGGTGGCTAAATCTAGCTAATCAACATAGGCATTAGCTGTCTCTCATCCCAGAGATACTCAGAAACATGAATTTGGTATTAATCACTGACTCTTTGTATCACTGTAGTGTTTCCACTCTGCTTGAATCCCTATGATATTTATTTTTACTTTGACTTAAGCTTCATCATGGAATAATGCTATGCACTGTTCTTTGACTTGATTCTTTAGCTCAATATCTTTGGTATGGCTTAAATAGTACATAAGCCATTTGATGTTAAAGAATAGCAAAGAATGCTATATACCCGGTTGCATGTCTTTTGTAGATTTAGCTGGAGTACTTCGTGCTTTTCATGCTTAAATAAATAAATAAATTTTTTTTACCAGTGTTAGTATATGCCAGGGTACTTCAAAATGTTTCATAGAAAAATGGAATTAAAACAGAACTATAAATTTGTGGGAAAAAATGAAATTGTGTATATGAGAGGTTTTCAAAAGGTTTATGAAAATACATACTGTGAATTGAACTGTGCATAGATTTTAAGTTTTTTGCACTTAAATAGCATTATCTTTTCATTCATTTTTCCAGAAATATATGGAATCATATATTTGAAATGGACTTTATTTTTTGATTTTGTATTAAAAAGCTTTCAAGCTCTTATTAATTCCAACACTTTTTTATACTCAATATGCCCAATTACTATATTAAAATAGCCATTTCCCTTGTGTTAGTTGAAAGTTACATGACTCTTTTACTTCTTTAGCTATTGTCAGGTATTTAAAGTCCAACATAAAGCAACATTTTGCTCCTGAATAACATAAGCGACTGGCAATTCTTTATCCCTTCATGACCACAATTTAATTTTTTCAAATTAGGCATTATTAGTATTTTTTAACAGATCTAGCTGCCTCTTGCCAGCATCTCAGAGTTTCCTTAATATCCTTTCTGCCTAGATTAATCTCTTTAAACACCACAAACTGTTTCCATAGTTACAAACCAAAGGTTGACTTTTGTGTTCAGACTCCATGCCACTTGATATTAAAATATCTGAAACTGTTTCAAGCAGCAGGAATCTTACAGTTTGACAAAGAATATGTATGTAAAAAGCAGATGACAACATGCATTCCGGTATTTGTTAGTTTGAAATAAAACAAAAATTGTCAAACTTTCAATTTTTTTAAAGACACAGGTTTCACGAGAGGGTTTCAAAGCTACTGGGTAACAAATATTTGCCACATTGTGCTTTGGGCTTGTACAGTTGCATGTATAGAGTATGTAACTGATTGAGGTGGCCTGCTTATTTTATCAAGCATGTAGCATTTACAGAATCTTAATGTCATTTTGATGTGTATTTTTTAAGTTGGGCAAAGGTGATGTCTGTATAGATGAGAGTACTTCAAAAGGTTTGTGGGAAAATGACATTAAAAGATAAGTTGATTTTGGTGCAAAAACTGTTGAAATTCATGCAAATGAGGTGTCCTCAAGAAGTTTATGGAAAATGAGTATTATGAAAAACTGCATGGCTCTCAAAAATCTTTCCACCAGCATAAGCTCAGCTTTTAATTTCATTTCCCATGAACTCTTTGGGAAATTTTCTCCTATATTAGAAGGAATATATTACAATGGTTTTGTTTTCAAATTATTACATAACTGGCACAGTGACATGTAAGCAAGAACATGAGGTTGGTATTTGTGAGGCTCCTTACTCTTAGGGAAATATGAATTCCTGCCCTTCCCATTAGACAGAGCCCAGTAGTTCTCTCAGCTCGCTGATGCCAGTGCTACAACACGCACATGCATCATCCAGGGCAAAATATGGACGTAGTCGGCGTGCCAGCATGGAATACTCTCTTAGGCTGGCTGTTGTTGTCTATTGCATTTGCACAGCGTTCACACCATATGCCAGTTATTATGCCAAAAATAAACCCCAAGCAAGGAAAGCATTAGAACCATAGATTCATTCCAAGTGCAAAATTCCAATTATCAAAGCCTAAACACAAGACTTTTATTAAGACATCCACTTTGATCTGCGCTGTAATTGGCACACTTTCTCCTAAGTGGCACTGGCCATTTAGGGTTGCACTTCTATTTTACGTGTCCTTTACGAACAGTAACACAGCATGATAGTAGGACCCTCTGTTTGGTGGAATGCGGGTGAGAGCATTGGACCCACCCTCAGCCTTGGCTCCTCTGCCGCTTAGCTGTGGGTTCAGCAATCAACCTTGGTGCCATGGAGGCTTCAGAAAGGAGCTGCTGTCACCACCAGCCCATCAGAATGCATCCTGATGATTCTCCAGCTACCAAAAGTTAGAGCTCCCCCGAATTCCCTGTCAGGGCTGCTGGTCACAATAGACTGTGGTCTGGAAAAGCAATTTGGTTCTAAATCGATACCTAACTCTGATGTCAGCGGTTAGAGTGATTTTGACATTTTAAATTTGGTAGCATGTGGCATTGTTACTATAGAGTATAAATTATGAGTATTTAATTTTCTTACAAATAGAATAGGAGCTATAACATCTCTCCCAAACACTCAAAACCAAAGACAGAATGTTAGAAAAGCATACAAGTCTCGCTGGGATCCAAGTGAGTGACAGATGCCCTGAAGGTGTTTTGGACTAGGTCGGTTATCTGGGGGAGCTGCTTCAAATAAAGCAAGAAGCAGTGTGGTTTCCAGGCTGTATTTCCAGAAACAGTGCAGGTTCTTTCACCAGAAAAGTCTCCACCCCAGAATGGCCCTTGATAACACTCCCCGTTGAAGAACTGGGCTCCTTCTAAGTTCAGAGTTCATAAAGATATTAAATCTATATCTGATGCACAGAGCAGGAGAGATAGAGATCTTCCAGCCACTGATTGACTCCCCAAATGGCTGCAATGGCCAGTGCTGCCCCAGGCTGAAGCCAGGAGCCTGGCACTGTGCCTGGGTCTCCTACATGAGCGGCAGAGGCCATCTTCCACCGTCTTCCCAGGAGTGTCATCGGGAAATTCAGTAAGAAGCAGTGTAGCCAGGACCCAAGCCAGTGCTCTGATGTGGGATCCGAGAGTCACGAGTGGCAGCTTAACCCACTGTGCTACCACACTGGCCCCTGCACGGAAACATCCTAACCACGCATCACAGCCATGCTGGGAGTGATGCTTAGTATCCCCTCTTTACAGAACAGGAGACCCAGCTTCATACAATCTGAGCATCTTACATCAGGCCACAAAATTAGCAGACTTTGAGGCCAGGGACTGGAGCTAAATTAAGTTCCCAGCACTGGGATGTGTGTCTTCAGGCTTCTACCATTCAAAATCAGTGTACATTCAACAACTTGCTATTCGATGGGACTTCTGACAGTGAAAGCCAAGTAAATATTAATAATTTTAAATGGAGACAAAGATTTTGTTGTAAAGTGGTGGAAAAAGAGTGGAAACCAGAGAAAGCAATTATGTTCAGGAGATGTATTTCTTCATCTGGGGGCAGAAACTGGAGCACAACATTATCCTCACATTCAACTACCCTGGCAGGCATAGTGACAGAGAGAGACAGGTAGAAAGAACTCTCATCCCCTGGTTTGTTCCCCAAATGCCTGCAACAGCTGGGCATGGACTAGGGCCAAAGCCAGCAGCTGGGAACTCAGTCTGGGTCTCCCAGATGCATTTCAGGTACCCAACCACTTGAGCTGTCACCTGCTCCCTTCCAGGGGCTGCACTAACGGGAAGCTGGTGTCAGGAGCAGACCCAGTATTGAGCCCAGGGACTCCAGTACAGGATAGGGCGTCTTCACCACTAGGCTAAATGCCCACTCCCATGTTCCTTCTTCGGTATGAGGATATGAAAGCTATCACTGAGTGCCTTCCATAGACCTGACCCTGAGCTGGGCACTGGGAACATGATGGTATGGAAGAGACAGCTTTCACCTTGTGTCGCTTACTAGCCAAGAGGACTCCCATGACCCAGACATGTCGGTAAAGTGATGAAGATGGAAGTAGAGGCCATCCCAGGACTATGGAGACCTATGCATGGTGATGCCAAAGTGAGCATGTGAGAAACAGACCATGGGGGCTGGTGCTGTGGTGTAGTGTGTTAAACCCCCTTCTGCAGAGCCAGCATCCCATACAGGCACTGGTGTGAGTCCCAGCTGCTCCACTTCTGATCCAGCTCCCTGCTGATGTACCTGGGAAAGCAGTAGAAGATGACTCAAGTGCTTTGGCCCCTGCACCCATGTGGGAAACCCAAAGAAACTCCTGGCTTTGGACCAGCCCAGCTCTGGCTATTTCACCATTTGTGGTAACAGCCATGGAAAGCACTGAAGTTATATGTGGGACAATGACAGGGCCATGTTCTATTCAATTCAGAATGGAAACTGGACTGGGGGAGAGGGGGCAGGTAAGTGCAGGGAGAAGGTGGGAGATGCTGGTGGCTTGGATGAAGGCAAAAGTGGTGGAGGCAGAGAGGGGTGAATTCAGGTGGTGGTCAGCCAGTGTACTCTCCAGGGGTCATGGTAGGCTATGCAGGGACAAGGGCGACTCAAGGGGTAGCAACTAGATTTCTTATGTGTTTGAACCCTGAAAATATGTGAAAGTTCTCAACTTGATTCCCGATGGCCCTGGTCAGAAAGGAAGGGAAGCCAGGCAAGGGGGGCCTTGGAGGGGCGGGTGAGCATGCCAGCACAAGGATCCAAGGCGGTTTGGGACATTTTTAAAATAATCAGAAGATCATTTACTTTTCCTTCCTTCTCTCCTGGGGATTCAAAACAGGACAACTCACTGTCAAAGATCCCAAGTTTCTCGATTTTGAAGTCAGGAACGAAGTGCAGCTCATCGTTGTAGCTGAAAGTGGTGGGCAGAGAGCGTACAGCAAAGTTGCAGTCTTGATACAGGATGTGAATGATAACCTACCCCGCTTTGGGCAAAGCGTTTACCAGGCATCGGTGTCTGAAGGCCAGAGCCACAATACTCATGTCGTACAGGTAACAGAAATACATTTGTGTGTGTGTATGTGTGTGTGCGTGCACACACAAGTATTAGAATCACAGTCAATAACATCCAGATAGCTGAGGCCCATGTCCAACACAGAACTTAACATGTCAGTGTTTCCCAGGTGTGCTCAGTGTTTGGTGGATTGGCTGAAACCCTATACAGAAGGGATTCCCTCTTCTCTTTCTTCACTCAGTGCTCGGTACTGTCTTCCTCCTTTCTCTGGGAACCCCGTGAGCACTCTCAGGGAGCAGGTAGGGACACAGCAAACCACCAGCGTTGTAAATTCTACCGTTCAGTGGAGAAGTCAGAAATAGGAGTATATCATTTAAATGCCACATCATTCATGCAAGACTACAAGTGTGCATTTAGTTTCATGGGAGAAAAGAGGAAAAACGTCAGCTCTTCCTGGAGGAGAAGTCTAAGGCCTCCCAGAACGACATTTGCACAAGGTCTCGAGCAGGGGTGGAGGAATATCTGGCCCATGGGCCATATAAGGCCCGTGGAAGTCATTTGGTCTGGCAACTGCAGGCAGGACTCGAAATTTAATAAATCTATAGCAGGCTAACTTTTAAGTTGATAATTTTGTATGGCCTGTGAATGATGTTATAAATATCCACATGGCCCTTGGCGGGATAAACGTTCCCACCCCTGCTGGAAATCACCCTCCCTTTACTTCCAGCCTGGCTCCCGAGGCACCTGATTCCCTCTGTGGGTGCAGGCAGGACCAGCACTGGCAGCTGTCTTGCAGTCCCAGCTCTGTGCCCCGACGCACCACTGCAATCGGCTGTTGCAGATTCATGTGTGCTATGGTAGCCGTGCTGCTGCAGTCGCCAGCGTGTTCCAGACGTGTTTACTGTGGTGTCAGCCATGACTGAGATGTTTAAGGAGAAGCTGGGGACGTTTGCTTTTCCAATCTTTATCGTCCCTGCCCAGTCCAGGCTACTTTGTCATACTGGGGCCCTGCAGCATCACGCCGCTCTCTCCCACCTGGTAGCCTGGGCCAGCCTGTGCTGCATAGTACATAATTAGTGAGAAGGAAGACACCACTAAAGCCCAGTACTCCAAGTGACAGAGCTCTCAAGGGCCAACTCTGGGGTGGAGACATTGCATTTCATTCTTTTCTATGTCTAGATCATTCATATTCCAGGAAGCTGGTAGTGCCATTCTCCCATGTCTTGTTCAAAAACTAGAAACATAGGAGGCTCAAGAACGCATCATCTGCAGAAGTCACTTTGGATTTTGGCTGCTGTACAGCCAGTCTGGCCTTCCTTTGGGTACAGCTCCACAAACTTCCTGTGAGGCCCTGGCCCTCCTCTGCTGCATGCAATCCTGCTAGGAATGGCAGTGGCATTACTCATCTGCCTTCTGCCCTACCCCACGAACGGTCTGGTTACCTGCCTCTGTCCCTGCCCAGCCAACTCTCCCTGGGTGAAGGGCTCCCAAGACAGAGACAGATTACATGAATCCTCTTGATGGCTAGAAGAAGCTGTGCTCTCGGCCTTCCTCCCCGCCCCCGAGCTGCTCCTGTGCAGGCCATTCTAACACATTGCACACACTGACACACCGCATCTACGTTGCCAAAGGAAGACCAGGAAGACCAGCTGCTTTTCCCGATGCTCGCGAAGGGAACTGTGTATTGCTGCCTTTCTGGCCCAAAGAGCTTGCTCATGAGATCCAGGGTGGTCTCTTGGGCCCCTCTGGTGCCCTGAGAGCTATGACAGCCGTGTCGAGGCTGGATTGAGAGGGTAGGGAGTCACAAATAAGATCCCGCTAGGACAGCAGTGTAGTATCCTGGCAAAGGGAAGACAGGGCAGGTGAGGTGAAGCCAAGGCTGTGGACATAGAGGAGTGTGTGTGTGTGTGTGTGTGTGTGTGACATATATGTATATATAAATGGAATCTTAATAATGTTGTCAACTTCTTCTTAAACCAGATCTTGAACCCACTGATATATTTTGGTCTAGTGATTACAATTAATGCAGATCAAACAGTATACAAAGTCACTTCACAAAATTCACAGAAAGTGTAATTAAAAACTTATTTTGTAACCAAAATATTTAAATCCATGCATATGAAGGTCCTTCACAACACTCAGGGAAAGTGTGTATTTATGAAAAAACTATATGTGGATTTCAAACACTTTGTACCAAATGTGTTATTTAATTTCTTCTTCTACTTCTAGAAGTCACTTGTTTATTTATTTGAAAGGCAGAGTGATAGAGAGGGAGAGAGAGTGAAAGAGAAAGAGATCTGCCCACTGACTCATTCCCCAAATGGCCACAACAGCCAGGTCTGGGTCAGGCTGAAACCAAGATACGGGAATTCCATCCAGGTCTCTCACATGAGTGGCAGAGGAACAAAGATTAGCCATCCTCCTCTACCTTTCCAGGCGCATTAGCAGGGAGCTGAATGGCAAGTGGAGCCACTGGGACTTGAACCAGCACTCTGATATGGGATGCCAGTGTTGTGAGCCTAGGGTTCTCTTCTCCATGGGGAATGATGCACAACTATTGTTTTACACTCAATACTGCTTTGATGACCCATCAAATAAATGATCTGGATCTATATTTGTTAACACTGAATCTAAACTTTCTTTCATTTTTAAAAGATCTCTTAAAGTTAAAATTTATTACAAAACAAATCCACACATGGCCTATTTTATAGGAAATACTTAAAGCAGAAAAAAAGAACAAATAAAATCACTTACTGTGTGAGGATATCCTACGACATCTCTTTGCTTTTCTGCTACCATGAATCTATGTACAGTACTGGAAATTTTCTGTTCAAGCAAATCAGATTTTTTTCAACTGATTTTTCCTATAATGTAGAATTGCAGCTCAAACATATGTGCAACTCCTACTCAAAGTCACTTGGAAATCCTCTGGACAAGAATGCAGAGAAGGCCTTCCTCCCTGCCCCCTCGCAGCCCCATCCACTTTATTAAAAAGTTAGAAGTGGCATGGCAGGTTAAGCCGCCACCTGTGACCCCTGAATCCCATGTGGGCACTGGTTCAAGTCCTCGCTACTTCACTTCCTATCTAGTTCCCTGTTAATGTGCCTGAGAAAGCAGCAGAGGATGGCCCAAGTGCTTGGGCTTCTGCACCTGCATGAGACCAGAGGAAGCTCTCTGTCAGTCTGTAGATTTTCTTCATAATGCATTTCTCTGAAAAACAGGCTTTCCTAATGTTGCAGATTAAATCTAACAGAAACGCGTTCCTCGCAGGTTTTTGCTACTGACCTGGATAGTGGGCTGAATGGCCTCCTTGAGTATTCTCTCGTCTCTGGCAACCATGAAGAGGTGTTCCAGATCGATGCACTCAGTGGTGTGGTGACAACAAGGGTGGTTCTGGATTATGAGAGCAGCAGCTCCTACAGGTTTGTCCAGGATTCCGCTCCATTTGATCAACTGTTCTGCTTGGTCCTTGAGGCATGACTTTTTATTGTGCAAACTTGATTCTAAAATGTGTTTTCCCTTTGGTATAACTTAGGATCATCCTTTTTACATATTAAAATAGTCTTAGAAATTATGGTCTATCGGGGAAAAGTGATTAGCCTAGAAGAAGTTGCAGGTCTCGTTCTAAGAGTTGATGCATTTGGGATGCTGTGAAGTACTAAATGATGTGATGTGAGATGTCTCCGGAACTAGAGAGCCCTCAGCAAAGGTTTGTTGGTATTGTTTTTAAAAACAAATGAAGGCTGCCAGTGCCGCGGCTCAGTAGGCTAATCCTCTGCCTTGCGGCGCCAGCACACCGGGTTCTGGTCCCGGTTGGGGCACCGGATTCTGTCCCGGTTGCCCCTCTTCCAGGCCAGCTCTCTGCTGTGGCCAGGGAGTGCAGTGGAGGATGGCCCAAATGCTTGGGCCCTGCACCCCATGGGAGACCAGGAGAAGCACCTGGCTCCTGCCTTCGGATCAGCACGGTACGCCAGCCGCGGCAGCCATTGGAGGGTGAACCAACGGCAAAGGAAGACCTTTCTCTCTCTCTCTCTCTCTCTCTCACTGTCCACTCTGCCTGTCAAAAAATAAATTAATTAATTAATCAAAATTAAAAAAAAAAAACAAATGAAGGCTGAATGGCATTTGTTTTTTTAACTCTTTTTAAAAATATTTTTTTGCAATGTATGGTTCTTTTTTTAAAAATATTCATTTATTTATTTGAAAGGCAGAGGTACAGAGAGAGAGGGAGAAACAGAAGGAGAAAGAGATATCTTCCACCTGTTGGTTCACTCCCCAGATGGTCACTGCTGCTGGGTCTGGGACAGGCTGAAGCCAGGAGCCTGGAACTCCATCCAGGTCTCCTACATGAGTGGCAGGCACCCAAGCACTTGGGCCAGCATTTGCTGCTCTCCCAGATGCATTAGCAGGGAGCTGGTTCAGAAGTAAAGCAGCCAGGACTCACAATGGTGCTCCTAAGGGATGCCAGCATCGTAGGCAATGACTTAATTCTTGATTCTTACTTTGTGTATGAAAATGTAACCTTGTCATCAGGGGCCTTATTGCAGTTCCCAGAGATGATCTTATTCAAAGTACAGGTTTAACATTAGCATGTTTCATTAGAGTCCAAGATACGCTGGCCTTATACAGCGTTCTATAAAGGGGGGAACAGTAGTGTCACAGGTATTGTAGGTATCTGGAAAAGTCAGAGATACAAAAGTCTAGGCTTAGAGCAAACATATTTGGAGTATCCCAGTCCATAACAGTGAAAGACTGTCAAAAACCTGAAAGGTCCATGAGTGAGGAGTGCATAAGGAAGGCTGGCACAACCCTTCTGTGGAACCCCATGAAACTGGTTGTTAGGAGAAGTTGGTGTGAGACGTGTGTACTTGCTGATGGGAGCAGAGCTCTAGGATCTGGCCCTGTGTGAAGGAAGCAGCAAGCTGTGCTATAGGGCTCCCCAACATGGCTGTTTGAGGAAAAGCAGACCATGCATTTTGGAATAGTTCTGGAAGAAAACACAATGAACTGTTAACTGTGTTTGGCCAGCCTGTGGTCTGAGAGAGGCGTGGCTTTCTCATTGTACAATTCAATACACTTTTTGGTTATGTTGTGGTTTTTCTGAAAGCCTTTGCTCATACCATAGTGTAGTCCCCCTTCTCTGCAAGGGTTGTGCTCCAAGACCCCAGTGGGTACCTGAAATTGCAGGAAATACTGAACTCCGTATGTCCCGAGTTCCCATACGCCCTGCAGCATTACCACGTGTGAGTACCACGCTTAACCTGCCCTTCTGTGTTTTACCCCCTGGTCCTTACCTCCTCTGCAGTGCTACTCCTGTGGTTTGGGGCCATTATTATGTGAAGTAAGGGTTACTTGAACATAAGCACTGTGATATGATACTGTGACAGTCCAACTGATAACTAAAATGGCTAGTATGTGGCTAACAGGCAGGTAGGGTATACAGAGTGGATATGTGGGTCAAAGGGACAGTCACAAAACATGTGCAGGATTTCCTCACACTACCTGGGGAGGCACACAATTTAAAACTTATACATTGTTTATTTCTGCGCTTTATTTATTTATTTTTATTTTTGATGGAGGATAACTAAAATTACGGACAATCAAATCACAGTTAAGGGGGAACTACTATATTTCATTTCATCCTCACAACCACCTCAAGAGGAAGTTCAGTTGGGTGTTTTGTTATGTACTTAACAGGCAGTATGGTGGTTTGCTCAGGGTCACAGAGCTGTTTAGGGATTGAACTTGGACTTGCACCCAGGTAGTGTTGTTGTGAGTTATACAAGCTCCAGAGCAGGCTTCCTGTTTGGGGAAAAGCTAGATTACAGGAGAGTACACGTCAGTATTTTCCTATGCCAGACGACTTTCATGTTTTATGAGGAAAATACAATATGTTCATGTGGTTGAACGACAAGAACGGATTAAAACGGAGTATGTTACTGGGTGTCTTGGATTAATTAACCTCAGAAAACCCTCCCATCTTTAAACATAACATTGTTTAGTCTTTTTGTTTAATATATTTCAAATTATTTTACTTCAAGAGTATTTTAGAAGTTTAAGATCTTATTCTGTGCTAACTTTGAGGAATGTCTTTCAACAATATTTTAGTGAAATTAATTGTTACGATCCTTGCATAATTTGTTAACAATTGATTGCTGCAGCATTGTTTCTGTAGTAAGTTTAAGCCGGAAGCTGCCTTTCTCCTCCACGGATGGCTGCAGGTAAATCTCAGCCTAGTTGCCATCTGAGTGATCACGAATCAGAGACCACTAATGGCCTGTTGAGTCCAGGAATGAAGCGTTTCCTAATTGTGATGACTTTCTGCTCCAGTGTTCTCATTCAATGCAGCCTAATTAACAATGAAATCTAACTTCTTTCAACTTTTTCCTATTTGCGTCATAGCTTCCATGTTCCCAACATTTAAATTGGCCCCGATATTTAAAAGGACCTTTCTTTAATTCCCCATGAAGAATTTAACTCAAGGCTGGAAGAAGCAAGAACTGAGAGAAGCTGGGCCACTCACACACTGTTCCAGAAAGGGGCACTGAGCCACACGCAAACACACATACATACATACACACACAGCATACACACATACATGTGTACACACACATGGCACACACACATACATGCGTACACACATACACACACACACACAGTGTGCAGCATCACCAAGGCCAGCAGATATTTTAAGCATCCTGCCATGTGGCCTCTCCCCTCACCCACTGTCAACTCTTGCTCACCTTGTGGCTTCTGTTCCTCTTCAATGACGTCCTTAATATTTAGGACAATAAAAAATGGAGGTCAATTTTTCCTTAATCTGCTACAATTTGATGAACGCTTTGAATGAGGTGCCATTTACATGTTTCACCTTTATTTAAAGTGCTGTTAGTTCATCTAATTGAGGGAAATATTACCAATTTCAGTCCTTTGTGTTGAAACATAAAACCAAGGGCAGACATGAGCCCAGTGGTTAAGATGCTGCTTGGGATGCCTGCCTCTCATATCAGGGCGCCTGAGTTCAAGTCTTGGCTCCGTTCCTGATTTCAGCTTCCTTCTATTGCACACCCGGGTAGGTAGCAGTGTTGGCTCAGTTAGTTGGGTCACTACCACCCTTGTGGGAGAGTCAGATTGAGTTCCTGACTCAAGACGTTGTGGGCATTTGTGAAGTAAAACAGTGAATAGAAGATCTCCCTCTGTCTTTGCCTCTTCAAATAAATAAATAAAATTACATATATAATGAAAAGGATAAAGGAAGTATTTATGATTCTGCCAACTATATTAAATTATTTTAGTTTTCATGTGATGCCTCCTCTAAGAAAACTCAGTGGAAAGATGACAAATTACAAAATAGGCCATTACATACATTCTGTCTGCCTGCCTGATATACCTTAATTTGTAAAAACTATTTCCCAAGCATGAGGCTGGGGATATTAAAAATAAATGAAACATATTAAATAAAAGTTTAAAAAAATAAATGAAACAGTCCTTGGTGTCAGGGAGCTTAGAAATTGAGTCCCAGTTAAACTCGTGGCAGGAAACTTGTTCAGAATCACAGTACTTGTCAATTATGGAGCCCCTGCTTACATTCATTGTCAAATTGAATTTGTATAATAGACATGATTTACAGACTGTTGAAATTGACATTCAGAGGGCTAAAGTTGTTTAGCCAACAGATGAACCTAGTAAGCATGATGGCGTGGTTCTAGCCGATGTGTGCTCGTAGGAAGACTTCCTATGGCACCATGTGAATGAGACTTAGAAGGACAAACGTGAGTATGTATATTTATAAAACACAGAAAAGAGAATGATTTCTAATTAAATGAATGTTAATAAGCCATAGCAGGCAGTTATTAAATAACACGTTTAAGTGTGAAGATACAGAAATGGAATTTGAATCACTGCCTTCTGCTACTTGACTTGTAACTGAAATAAACCTGCCACTATTTAAATAGGACATTGATATTCATATAAGACTTGTTATACTCCACAGTCAAGAGTTTTGGCCTTTTGAGAGAGTTTAAATAAAAATAAGCAAAACAAATTGAGGCAAATAATTTAAGTGTTTAAAAACTCCAGTTCTGTAGCGTAATTATTCAACGTCAGAAGAACAGTTATTGCCAGGAGCAATGCTAGACTCCTAATGTACTCTCCATTGAATGTTCCTTATGACTGTGCGAGAAATGAGAAAAAGCAGTTATATATACAAGGTAACACATTATCTTTTCCGAAATACACAAATTCAAAGCAGCAGAACTGGGATTGGAAGCTCAGTACTTTGACTATCAAAGGAACAGGGAATAAAAGGCATCCCAGGCAAAGGCCTAAGGAAAGGCATGGACACACAGTGTTGGGTGTGTTTAGAAATAGGAAACAGCAGAGTGCACCTGGAAAGGAAGTGAGTCATAAAAGAGACTGGTAG